AAAACTGGAAGGTGTGTTTAATGTGACTGTTTTTTTTTTTTTTTTTTTTTTTTTCTTTTTCTTTTCTTCCCTTCTCCCCCCTTATGCACTTAATAAAAGATCCTAGCGATTTCCAACCTTGACAACTATGACTGGTTTCCTCTGGTCAAGTTAAAATAATGTATTCAGACAGTAAAGGAGTCTGCTGCAGCTGTTGGGTAAATTCCAACGCGAGGCCTCTCTAAAGGAGATTAAAGCTGTCTACGTCCTGTTTTCAGTGTCCTTTTCAGCCTCTGGGGTAATATAAGAATGCAAATGATGTATTCTTATTCAAACCTACTCATTTCTAATTAAATTATTAGGATAAATGTCAGTATGTTCTTTTATTCAGCTTGTATTTTGTTATCTGACTCTTGTGTAAGAAGCATAAAGGACCCCCGCAGGAGGGGTAATGCGATTACCCAGAAATCTTTCCTGAGTTTTTTTTTTTTTTTTTGGTCTGTGGATGAACTACCCTATTGAATGGATTGAACACTTCTTCCTTTTTTTTATGAAGTGAAAAAAGAAAGCCAAGTCATACTTTTTCTGTCCATTCCATTTGATTATTATGTCTGAAAAAAATACTACTTTTAAAATGTAGAGTTGAAACCAGATATGTAACTACACTTGATAAAAGTATGTCTTTTTTAAATCATTGCCTGAAATAAAATCGGGCCAGACTTTTCCTGCTTTAGGCCAGTTAATCTTATTTGATTAACACCAAAATGTAGATTTATGTTTTTTTTTTTTTTTTTTTTATTTATTCTGTAGCTCAAATTCAGAAGTTTACATCCATTTTCTTAGTCTTTGGAAGAATTGTTTTAAAGGGGCAATGTTATGTACAATTGTCTTTCTTGAGCTTTGCAACATGTTATAATGTTATTCTCTCATCAAAAACGTACCTGGAGTGATTATTTCATGCATGTTTGAGAAATCCTTTAATCTCCCGTGGCAACCATTCAGCTGTGCAAAACGCCTGAGTGGACGTGGCGCCGCCTTTGAAGTACAGCTCCTTTTTTGAGCTGCAGTTTCCTACTTTCAAGCGTCTGCAACTCCCCCCCACTCAGCTCCTTCAGACTAGCCAGCAGGAACTAGTAAACGCCTAGTGGAGGTCATTGTACGATTGACTTCTCAGTCACACTAACTGGTAAAAACATAGAGTTAATCGAGGAGCCATGTTGTGATGACTTCTTGAAGGCAGAGTTTCAGAAAGAGGAGTTTTCAAAGAGACAAGGGCCCAATTTCAGGTGTTAAATTACAAAGTCATATTTCTTTTAAGTCATATTTGATAT